TTTACAATAATAATTCTTCCTTTTAAATGAACAATGTGGGATGTGGAGAAGTCATGTATTTTAAGCAATAAACTGTAGTGCGTGGGGGTTTTTTTTTTTCAAATAAGGACCATAGATTTTTTTTTTTCTGTGATTCAAGGCCATGCTTGTTTCCACTTCAGTTTTAAAATAAATTATTAGTCTTTATCACAGCTGTATAATGTTTATACTGAAGCCATAATACTTTTCACAAAGACAAATATTTAGCTTCAACATTTTGTGAGTAATCTCAATAATCTAGTAAATTCACTAGAGAAGAAAAACAGTGTTTCAATATGACAGAAAGCATACTGGTTGTAGCTCTGCAATTGGATACATGGTATATTTGGTATTTGTTCTGACTGAAGTTATTCGTATTTCCTTTGCCAGGACATTTTTATGCCTGGATCTGTTAACCTCCTTAAAGAATGAGTTATCACTTTCTCTGGGTCATGCATGAAAATGGCAGAGTTCAGTGCTGGCACTGCTGCCTGTCGTGCTGTCAGGAAGTTAGCTGGCTGACGCTAGATGGAGATGCATGTTGTCCTAAGAAAGTTGCAATACATTTCAAACGTTACAATTACCATGTAAAGGCTAATGATGTCTGTTGAAAATTCCCAATGTTTATCTTAAATGAATGGTATTTTTCTATATGTAGGCTGAGCTAAAATGCCATCCAATATTATTCTGCAACAGACTACCTATAATTGGCCTTGTTATAGAAACTTAAAGGTCTTAAAGATATCTCATGAGTTTATTTTGTCACTGAAACATTCTGCTTTGGATTTATGTGTTAGGTTCATTTCACAGATGGTTTCTAAACTCAAAGTAACAGGGTGCAAGCTGGGGTCTTGGGTTTTTTTTTTTGTTTTGTTCTTTATTTTAAAGAACAACTCTTTAACAATCAAATTTCACCTTCAATTAATCTGCAAAACCTTCTCTTGCAGCCCACCTTCACTGCTTGCCATCACAATATCTCAACTAGTTCTCTAGGAAATGAGATGAACACAGCCAAGTTCCTTGCAGATTTAATGCTCCTCACTGCTGTTTTCTTTTGTGAGTGTAAGGTAGTCTTTTTATACGTGTATTAGAAGAAAGTATTGTTCCAGCTAGGGTTGGAGGGTTTAATTAAGAGGGAAGGTCTCCCAGCATGCCCACTGGATGATCAGGGCTGAATTAGTGTATTTCCCTGTGGGAGACCATTCCACAATTGAAACTCCACTGCTGTCAGTGCTTATTGCTGAGACAGGGCTGTTATCCTACCAAGTGTTAGAGACCTTAGCAGTGATTGCTTAAACTGGAAGGAACAGCTATGTTATAGACATTGATGACCAGAATCAAGGCCTTGTTTACGTGACAGAAATGGACTAAGAATTGGTGGACAAAGAGGGGTATGTGCACTTGCAAGGCACTGCACAAGGCTTTCCTAAACTGTAAAAGAAACTCTTACATATCATGATGCTGATGTACATGTGGGGAAATTTTTCTTTTGTTTGCCAGTCGAGTGATTTTTAGGAGTAAAAAATCCCCTTTTTTGACTAAAGTTTCAAAGTTGAAATAAAGTCAAAGAAAAATTAACTCTAACATGGGGAGTGCTTTTGAAAAGTCTGCAAATACATGTAAAATAAAGGTTTTTCAATGATAAAGGATATTATTAGCCAAAACTTGGGTGTATCCTAGCATCACTACAACAGAATGTCAACTGAAGTGCTTTTACCCTTACTTCTAGACATTAGTATATTGTTTTCTCGTTGTTTGACGTATTGTAGTCCTATATAGCCATAAATCAGTGATGCCTTGCAGTCCTATTTGGGGGCACCTCTCAGTTTTGAAAAAAGAAAGATGAGGTCTTAGGTCATATTTAAAGTGAGACTCTCTATGAACCTGCTAGTAGTGGATTTTCCAGCCCAAAGGAAAAATAAAGTCACAGACATTAGTCGCTCTATTTATTTCCTATTAGGATAAAAAGATCTATATAATCGTGACATAGAAAAATCTCAATTCATTCAGATTTTAGATCTGAACAAACCAGAGGGAAAGGCAGGTTTCACTTTGTGAAGTGTCAGCAGTTGAATTTTGGCAGCATAGGTTTTTGTTCCATTTTGCTCAGAACATTACACATTGGCTGATAAAGATGAAAAATGTGGCTTACAATTTTTTTCTATTTCAAGGTGGAAAAGAAATATCTTGCATTTTGTGGATTGCAGTCAATTAAATGTTTTTCTTATGAAACTAAATTCTGGAGTGCCTTAAAGTAATTTTGCATTTTACCTCAATCCATAACAGAGATCTCATTTTTCCCAGTTTTTTCCCAGAGATCACATCTTTCCCAATCATAGTGACACTGGGTAAAGGTCCTGAGATTGTAAAATGTGTTACGTCTGGTAGGACGTGCTATCCTGAGTTCCAGATCTTTAGCCAAGTCTTTGCTCTGTCTTGTTTTTCTGTCTTCCCACTTTATTGGGCAAGTCTTATGTGTCCAAGCCCCACTCCAATGTCTCTGCTTCACTAAGGTGGGACGGATAAAGCGGAGGTAAAGAGTGTATGTGTCTGGAAGTAGGAGGTATCCCCATTGCACTACCTGTTGGAGCTACACAGAAGAGCATATCACATGTGATATTGCACTCGAATCCATTTATTGCTCAGAAAGCAACAGGGGAAGCTCGGGAGTCTCTATTTCCTGAACCAGTTCCACTTGGTGCACTAAGAATGGAGGTGTGAGCAGGTGACTCCCAAGCTGCTCCTTGTTTTCTGCTGGAAAAGCTATGGAATTAGCGGATTGGCTACAGGACAGGTTGGTACTCTTCCCTGAAAAATTCTCATCTAGGAAAGTGACATTTCATCCATGAAAATCCTCATCTCTGTATAGAAATATAACAAACAGACATAACAATATATAAATTTCCCTAACTTAAAAATCAGACTCTAAGAACCTCTGCTGTATTTCAACTGATCTTACCTTTAACCTTCCACTAGTTAATACATCTATATACTGTAGCTATAGGGAACCAAGCACAGTTGCTTTCTGCCATGCTGATTGCATTGCAATGGCTGAGATAATTCTGCAGAGAAAAAAAAAAACAATAAAAGCAAGATATTTTTTGCATGAAATCAAAACTTATGCAGCAACTTTTCCTTCAAACACAGCAAAGTTCCATGTCTTCATTTGGCGCAACTCATCCAAGCTTTAGCAACTGTAGTGATGCTACACTGCTTTCCACCAGAAGAGCTGACCTGAAACATTGCAAAATGATCTTGCCTGAGGCTCAGTCATGAAGACTTTCTGGGAGAAAGGCTTACATATTTAGTCTAAATTCCAGTTTCTAACCGAGAGGGACATAAATAAGTGTTTGACTGTGGCTCGGGGTAAAAATTCTAAATCATAGTATCTTTTTTAGTATACTTTAAACTTCAGAACAATTTTGATCTTCATCTCTAATTGTACTGAAAAAAATATTTTTATTTCTTTAAAATTAATTTGACAATTTTAAGCCAAATCCAATTTTTAAGAAAAGGCTATGTGATAAGGGGAAAAAACAACCAAAACTGGAGGCTGGGTATTGCATTAGATCTGTGTTATTTATGTGACAGCTATCACCGTCATGGTTCTACCAGGGAGAGCAGAGTGGCTGTAAGGGGTATGGCCCCATCCTTCCTTCCTTTAGCACCTACAGGTACAAGGAGTGTACTTCGAAGTTATCCCACACACTTTACAGACATACTTTGCCCTGCTTCGCAACTTAGTTTGGACCTGTGCCTGCCTTGGCAGTGCTCTGTTGTGTTTCGTGTTTGGATTGGCAGATACCTTTCCACATTGTGCTTCCGCTCACTATGATGAGACCCTGCTCCAACAAACACTTCCACCTCTGATTTATTGTTTACCCATGAGTAATACTGTTAAAATCATCAGGGCTGTGTCTGTCCTTGTGCATAAGGGTCTTACAGATTCTACTCTCTGAAAATCCTAAAGCCCTTTTGAAATACTTCAGTGAGACAAGAAAGCAGTGAGTCAACATTAGCAAAATGTTTCAAATTCTGGGCTGTTCCTTTCCTCTGGCAAGGAGGAAAGAGAAAGGAGAAGTGTTTACATCAAATGACATTCCAGAAATCTGCAAGACAGCTGTCACTTGTCTTTGATGGTGCATCTTTGTAAGACATTGTCATGATGGCTATTTATTTTCAGGTTTATGTTCCTATGCGGAACAGGAGTGTTGTAATGCAATTACATTGCTGTCCACAGTTCAGTTTGAGAAAGTACTATCCTTCCACTGCTTCAAGGCTGAATAAAAACCATCATGAAAAATTGTTAAGGAAGAACAGAAAATACTACCCTCTTAGCAGGCTGTTTGAATCCTTCTAAATTCACTGTAGTTAAATGATATCTCTGCTGGAGAACAGCTTAAAATAACCTGCAGAAAAGATAACATTTTAACCAAAGAATATCATTTAATAGACATTTCTATGGAAACTCTTATATTTCTGTAGAATATCCGTATGAGCTCTTTTTAAATTCTATAAGAGTTTTCCATTTGTTGACACTGCACGTCTATAAAAGATTCTCAGAGAGTTCTCAAAGGACTGAAAACAAACATTTCAGTTACGAATATGTGGATTTAGCGTCCAGAAATATGAAGTAATGCAACAGAAATATCAAGAATAAGATAGAAGCAATGAGTAGACCCTAACAGGCGACTAAATAGCTGAAGTATGGCAAATAAGTTTTACATAAATAAATGCAAGGGGAGAGGGGGAGATAATAGTGTTAGATAATGGCATAGATGTGCATAAAGATTCCTGAGGGATATATTTTTAGAGTGGAAGGTAGTATGCCTGCTATTCATGCATATTTAAGCGGGTGGTTGATTACTCTCACTCAACTGCTCAGCTTTACTCCAACTGATGGTGTTTGGAATGCGTAATGAAGGCAGAGGGTGGTCACAGTTCTTCCTTCTCTTTATTTATGTGTGCTTTTTAATTTTCAGAATGCCTATGTCAACATCAATCGGATCATGTCTGTTGCGTCAAGGCTTTCTGAGGCAGGCCATTATGCTTCCCAGCAAATTAAACAAATATCCAGCCAGCTGGATCAAGAGTGGAAGAGTTTTGCTGCGGCTCTGGATGAGCGCAGCACCATTTTGGCGATGTCTGCTGTCTTCCACCAGAAAGCTGAACAGGTGAGCTGCTTTTGTGACTGGCAAAATGATCCATTGCTACTTTGATAATGACGATGCTGCAATTATTACCTGATGGCTTTTGGCTTGTACGCCCTGAGGTTTTCCTAGTGGATCAGTGTCTCAAAAACAAATAGTAACATCTTCTCTGAAAAACTGGCACGCGTTCCCTGAGTGGGTAAGAAAATATGTTTATGCCTTAGTGATGAGAAAGAATCTGATCATAAGTGAAGCGCACTGGTGCGGTAACATGCTGCCTTATTTCTATTGCCTAATATTTCATCAGTGCTGTGGATAAATGCAGGATTATTATGGTCAGGAAAACAGTATGTGTCTGCACTCATATGTATATGCGGTATGTGCTGTGTGCACAGGAATATTCACACATATGACATAGACCCATACCAACAGACAATTTCTAGGAGCCAAAGCACATTAGTGTTAATGAAACTTACAGAATTTGTTCCACTACCTACTCTTGCAGTGCTCTCCATAGTCCCAAACTTTGTTAGACCTCACTAAGTAGGGAATTCAGAGACAGCTAGGAACATCCAAGAGAATTTTCCATGTCCCTGAACTCTTGTTTGTGTCTTTAATAACTACCAGAATTGTTCCATAATTTCATAGCTACAAAAGCTTTAAAATATGTCAGTGAATAAACCTTCTGCTTTTTTTACACCTAAACCAGGTCCACTTAATCGTGATGGTTCAACTTTGATCATATGTTGATTATATTCATTTTCCAGTGACAAACACTGCTTTGGGGCTCTCTTCAGTATTGTTGTGTGCTTGTTTTTCCAAGTAGTTAATATCGAAGCTACTAAGTGGGTGTGCTTGATGTTTATAAAATGACCCATACTTTAAGTGCCTGAAGAAATTATAACTGATAAGCCAGAAACTGTGCCTTGTAAACCAGAATACATGTATGGAAAAGTTTAGCTCAAAGAGTAAAGATTTTCTTTACTGTTTGTTTCTGACTGTAGAATTATAATGGATTTTTCTTTATTTTGTGTTTCCTATTGACAACAGGTCATAGCATAGAGCAATTACTCACCCTACTGGGCACATACTCATGTAAGCACACTCAGTGGCTCTGATGGGACTGATACGCTAAGATGATGCCCAGTATAAGTACTTTCATCTCTGTACAATGGGCACTGTAGTGTTTAGGTGTAGTATTCATGTTAATAATTGTCAGTCATCATATGTTCACAAATAAAAAATTTAAAAAAAATTATATCTAGCCTATAGTGACAATGAGAATGTTTAAGGTTTATTAATGAATTACTTCTTTATCATTTGTTTTGGTTTGGTGTTTGGGTTTCGGGATTTTTTTTTTTTTTTTAACAAGTGATTCCCTATTTTTCTGAAGTGCAAGTCTTATTTGCAGTTTATGGGGAGTTGCTGAGGTATTGTATAGCATGAAAAGCAATAAAAAAGAAAGCTGTATTGAACAGTCTGTCAAGCTAGAGGTGAATTTTTTCTTTGGTCTTCACACCTTTTGAACACTGTCAAAGTGGGTATTTTACCTCAGCCTTAACTTGAAAAAAAAAATTACATTAATATCACTTTCAGTTTGGGGGTTTTTTAATTTACAATTGTATGGATAGGTCTGAAAAATCCAGTCCTGCCTTGGCACCTTTTCATAAGGAACTGAAGTGTGTGCTGCCTGACAGAAGCCAGTCTCTTGTTACTAAGCAGACAGGAGAATTTGCCAATTGTGAGCAGTTGCTCCTCACTTGCAATAAGAGACAATTCAGTGGAAGATTACTGCTGATGTGAAGCCTATAAACTCAGACTGCTGCAAAAAAGAAATGTGGGAGTCAGTGTGTCCATTAGCCAGTATTAAAATTTTGGTCTTGCTTTAGTAACTCTGGTAGGATAAACTAACAACCTGAATGCTAATGATTTAGTCATTTGACCTCTATGTAGTATAAAAAGTGAGGCGTTTGGGATTTGATCTATAACTCAGCCTGTTGTCTATCAAATGTTCATTCCAAATCTGACTGACTATTATTTGGCATCACCCAGGGTTTTTTTGGTTTTGTTTTGGTTTTTTTACTCAAATCAGGGCTTCATTATTTAACAAAAAATAAGGCTTAAATCTCTGAAGCAAAGATATAGATAAATCCACTATTTCCTCCGTCCCAGATCAAATCTTTTTTTTCTCCCTTCGTTCTGTCAGTAATGTTGTTGCAGATCCAACCATTTCTCCCACAGCGTAACCCTGCTTCCCTCATACCGATCTGATATGCAGATTGTCATTCCTTCTCCAATACGATAAGCTGCTACAGTCTCTTTGTTCATTCCTTCATATTGATTGAAGTTCTCTGTGATGCCAACAGGAAGCGAGTCTACTAGTACCATAATCTTTAAGCCTTTAGGACACCCCAGCCTGCAGGGAAGTTGTTGGCCTGGGACAGAGATTCATGAAAAACTCTATGATCTCTGTAATAGGAAAGATGAGCAGGAAGCAACTTGTTTTTCAAGGTCTTTTCCTAAAGACCCCACACAGAAAGCTGCACAGAATGCAATTTGTCTGGCTTGGAAGGATGAAAGGCTGAGTCAACCCTGCTGGGAATAGAACCTCATATCTGTCTTCACGTGCCTCAGAATCACATTGCTTTCCTGGCTCTTACAGCAGATACATGTGGCATGTTGAATGGGACTCGGCTGAATGAGTTCCTGGATCAAAGCTTTTTTTTTTTATTGCTTTGTTTCTTTCTTTTTTGTCTTTTGTGTGTGTGCATGCATGTGTCTTCCTTAAATTTTTTAAACACAATTTGTACATACTAAACCATCGTCAAGAAAGGAGCAAAGAAAAAGGAAAAAAAAGGAAAGTAAAGAAAAGAAAGGAAGACAAGACAAATCTTGCCAACTTAGCCTCCAGCCAGGCTTCCTTCAGCACATGTGTTTGATCAAAACTAAACTCCAAACAACCACTACATCCAGGTCAAGGTGCAGCTCAGGATATTCAGTGGAGGTGTTTCCAAAATGTCCCTTAATTCCACCTGCTACAAATCTCCTGGTTGTTTGGGTTTTTTTTTTTCTTTTCTCTTCCCCCCTACCCGCTCTCCCTTTCTCATGCTAGCATGGAGATATTCTAGTGCAAAAGAGAATCTGCTTCTGTATCTTTAGGTACATCTGAGTCTATTCAAAGTTGCAAGAGAATGTAGGAGAACATGCCTTATCTCACTGTGATTTCAAGAGAACTGTGCTGATTTACACCAGATGGATTCTGGCCCATTAACTGCCAGATGGGGGAAGCAGACATTCCAGGTGTCCTCCCTTTCTTGGATGTAATCTCTGAAAGTGTGCTAAAGTATTCATAAGATGCTCACTCTACAGATCCTGTCAGAATGAACAAATTAATGTCTTCAGTCGAGAGATCTCAACCAATTAATTCTGGGTCAGAGTCTACCCTCAGAAATGAACAAGCAGAATTGCTATTTAAGGTAGTAGGTGTTAGGTGCCCACGCTAGACATTTGTCCTGATTCTCTGAAGAGCAACCCCTGACCATTTGTCTCATACTACATTACTCCCCAACCAGGAAGACTACTGTTCTCATCTCTCATCTCTGCCTGGATCTCTAAGCACATCCTGAACTCCCCTATCTGAGGAAAGGAAATTAAGAAGAGAGGAAAAGAAAAAAGGGAGGAAGAATTTGAGGAAAGGGAGGAAAGGAAAAGCCAGTTGATACGTATAAGATGCAGGGATAAGACCAAGATAACTTCTGCATTAGATAGGGAAATTCCAGAAACAACAACAGGAAATACACAATTAGCCTTGTACAAAAAATTCAGGGCATCAAGAGATATTATAGGTCACTGAGGAAAACAGTTTCATGGCTGCCTTCCCATCTTTCTCCACACCCACTCTGGAGCATGAAAGTACACAAGTTTGCTTTCAATTTCTCCAGGGCCTAGGAGAACCACCCTGGTTATCCTGCAGCTTCCATGCAGAAGCCTAGCAAGCAATAGGCAAGGACCATGAAAAAAATGTGGAGAAATATGGACTACAAAATGTCTGAGCTGTGTTTTGGAGCAACCATGTGATACAGCATACCGGTCCCTGAGGAAAGCTAGTAAGAAGTGGTCTGAGTACATACATTATTACCTGACCTAATACAGAATTTGCAACTTAGGTGAATAGGTTGTGAGTCAGGAGTAAGTGTAGGTCATTACTTTAAAGTTACTTTTGGATTGGATCAGAGGCACAAACGTACCTTAGGGACTTTTTTAGGAGAAATTTTTCTTAATCTTTCCTGAAGTCTTGAAAAACATGTACAATTATTGGAGGCTGTCATTTCAAACCATATTTAAGGAACTTTTTTGTTCCCAGTGGGAGCTATTCCAGTCTATGGGCTAACTAGAAATTTAAGCAATTAATTTCAATGGTATTGAGTATCCAGTGGACAGTAACAGCTCCTGTTCCAGCCTGACAGTTAGCAATTTACAATTTTAGATGCATCTTTTTTCAACTCAGTCAAATGATAATTTTGTGATATAAATATGTTTCTAGCATGAAGGGTTACATTTAATAAAGTTTTCTGTGCCTGCCACAGTCTGTGAAAAATAATAAAAATTAACATAGCTGCTTTTTTCAAGATACCCAAATCAGTAGTCCTATGGTAAGAACTAACACTTTGCAAAAATCCTTAGAGAAAAAACATTTGCTCTCCCTGTGTGAATCTACACATGCAGCACAGACCACTATGCACTGTTTCAGGGTATCAAACACTGACAGTCTGCATTTCTTAAAACTTTTTAAAACAGATGATGTCAACTGCTCCTGCTAGTGGCAGAAGTGAAATTACCGATGTAATTGTTGGTGTGACATTGCTTGTATACAATAGATACGCAAAAGAAAGATAGATGTGAGACAACAAGGTGGAAATGTGGTTATGTGCATAGGATCTTCTTGAGACTTCTCCCACCTACTGTGCAAATCACAGTCTGGGTATATGGTGGTATATGACTGTAAGAGCTTGTACTAAAATTTGTAGAATTCAGCAGTTTTGATTCAAGCTGTAACAGTGTGATTCCAGCAGCAGGAGCACTGGTCTATAAGGTGTAAAGGGGTTTTGTTCACTGTTTCAACCAAGAGGTTCATGTAACAGCCCCAAAAGGGATTGATCTCAGCTCCATGCTCTTAAAACTGCATAGGAAATGATGTGAATTCCACTACCTTGGCACAAAATATGATGACTTCAGCTTTATGCAAGGGTGTTTGGAGATTTCATCTGAAGAGATTCAACAGATCAGGAGTCAAACCAACACAGAGAACCTGCCATCCTTGCCTCCAGTCTTCTAGAAAGCACGATTTTCACTGGTAGATTTGTACTTTGTAGACATGAACATTTCGGAATTCATCTTTGTCACGGAATCTTTGTGCACTGAAAAGAAGTGTTTACAATGCAAACACTTTATAGCCTTGATTACACAGCAGGATGGTGAATAGCTTTACACTGCTAATAAAAAAGGATGCTGATGCTAGAGCCGGAGTTGAATTTAAATTCTTTGCTTTGAATCTCACAGCCCTTCATGCTGTGAGCAAGTGCTTCCCTAACAAGCCACAGGTGAACACTTCAGGAGTGGATAAAGCTGTAATTCTGAGGGTGGTTGTGTGGCATTATTCGTTCACCCTACAGGGCACTACATCTGTTGTATAATTAGCTGTTCTTTTTTATAAATAGCCCCAAAGTATGGCAGGCTGGTTTAACAGAAAGATGGAGGAAGAGAAAATATTAATGAGAAGAAATGAGGTGGCATTAGGCAGTTAGTATGGACAAAATACGAACATGTGAGTTGTGTCATTGGAGTAAGGCCTGCTTAAAAGAAAAACAGGATGGGAACCTTAGAGACTAAATTCCTTTTTCTTTTACAGAACAGGCAGCACCCAGGAGAGCTTCCCCAATTTGTTCTGCCAAAGTGGATCAGCACTGATCTGGAGGCCTTTAAGAGTGGAAAAATATTTTTTTCCATTCCTCTGCTCCCTGAAGCCATTCAGTTTCTGGCTGTCTGTTAAGGCTTCCAACCAAGGTGCTAAACCATATCAACTGCAACAGCAATGATATTTTTCTCCCTTTTCGTGGATGTCTGCCCACCAGGAACTGGACTGAGACCAGCAGCTCATTTTGCATTGGCTGCTTAGCAGCTGTCAGATGGTAATGGTATCTGATCGCTGCTGACCTGGGCCAGAATCAAATGTGTGACCCAGGAGTTTAAAGCCTTGGTATCCTATTAGCAATCCCACTGAGTTGGCCCTTGGTTGGGAACTGCTTGAATACAGACTGTCTGCCTTTCACTGAAATGAATGTCAGCGTTGATTTTAATGGGAGTTTTCTATTGCTCAAATCAGTAGTGTTAAGGACAGGTAAGCAACTGAGGGAAGATTGACAGCTGAGACAATGCCAAATACAGCTGGAGCTGTAACTGTGCCCTTTTGTGCCTCACGATTATGTTTTTTTCTAACTATGTTGCAGCCTCCCTTTTTGGAATGCAATGTTGTGACCTCCCTGCATGGTATGCAAAGACTCTTAGAATGGGTGTTTTGTGAGCCTTGTTAAAGGAGCATTTGTTTTTAATCCAGAAGAAACAGAAAACATTCCTTTGGAGCTAGGTGTTCTTCAGGTACTGAGGAGGTGACAGGCATGTGCTCTTCCAGGGTGCTCAGAAGGACTCCTTTATAACTGTTACGTTTTCCTCAGTCCTTGCTGCAGTCATACGTGGCACTCTGAAAACAAAGTTTTCTAATGTTGATGAGATGATGTTCTGTGTCACTGTTGCTCATTGTTCCTGGAATTGTTTCAGTTCCTTTCAGGTGTGGATGCCTGGTGCAAAATGTGCAGTGAAGGAGGCCTCCCCTCAGAAATGCAAGACCTGGAACTGGCCATCCATCATCATCAGACCCTGTATGAACAAGTAACACAGGCCTACACAGAGGTATGTGCTTCCCAGAGAAAAATGTGAGTATCTGTTAGGTGGCAACAGGTATTTGCATTTTGGAGCTTAGCTTTTCTAAATGAGATAGGTTGTGCTTTCCATTTCTGCAACTTTTTCAAAGGAGTGAGATCTAATCCCAGGCTGTAGGAGGTTACTCCCAGCAATCTGCTTGCAAGGGCACAAAAGGACAAATCTGAGGGACAAACCCGATACAGAAATGAAATCTAGAACTAGTGTTCACACCCCAAAGAAGAGCCGCTTCACTGCCTTTGCTGAAGAGGGTACCCCTTTAAGCCACCAGTAGCTTTACTCCTCTTGCTTTCCTTATGTGAATGAGTCCTGGCTCTAGCCAGGTGTGCTAATGGCAACAGAGGATGCCAAAGGCTTTTTCCTTCAATATACAAAGTCACAGAGATGTCAGGTCCTCATTACAATGAATGCTGCAAAAGACTGTGCTTTAGATAGAATCTAGAGTCATTTAGGTTGGAAAATACCCTTAAGATCTTCCTAACACTACCAAGTCCACCACTAAACCATGTCCCTAAGAGCCACGTCAGATTTATTTGTACATACTGTTGTCAAATCTCTCAGACCTAAATAGGGTATGTGTTTTTTTCCTTTAAAAGAGGGTGCCAAGGATGCTAAGACTAAAACATATTCTCTGGCATTTTGTAAAAAAAAACCCATAAAATTCTTCACTTGCTTTTTCCCCCATCCAGGCTGCAGCATGAAATAAAAGCTACTGACAAACAGCCAACATTCAGTGCATCTGCCTCTGCAGGCCAGGGTCTGTGTTTAGTCCACTTTATTTTGCAAAAAGGCTACAGGACCTCCCTGGCATCTGAGAAGACTCCTTTTAGGAATAAGGCTAGTCTAGATGTTCACCCCAGGCATGGGCCGACCTGCAAATTACCCTGGGAAGCCATGTACATTATCCGCTCTATTCTGTTATTCATGTCTCCAGGACTCAAGATTGTTGGAAAGTAATGCACAGATCACCTGAATGCTTGGGTTTAGTTGTAATTTTCATTTCCCTGTACTGTGCTGTGCTTGACTGTCTTTCTGGGTATCAAGGGATTTTGCTCCTTGAAGGGTTTTCCAGGCTGGACTGGAGGACTGTGCTAGTGCTTGCTTTACTTACTTAGTTACCAAGTGAAGACTCCAGAACAGAACATAACAGCTCTCCTCCATGCTCAGGCCTTGCTCTGGTCATCATGCTGTTGGAAGAATCTATAGTATAACATAGAAGAAAAAAGGATTTGCTAATCTAGGCTTTGTGGTAGGCACTCGTACATACACAGTGAAGTTGTGCAGATACCTTAATGATGAATGTAAGGAATGTGACATAGAAATCTCTTATTGTCCGAACACCTGCAAGAATTTGGAAGTTAGTCAGTTATAATGAGCAAGTCTGGGTTGCAATCACAAAGGGCAATTCCTTATTCAATAATCAAGCTTCTCAGGAACAGCGGATTGTGTGAGTAAACACAGAACAGTCCTGTTGACCTCTAGTTGCAACTGTGAATTTTATATATGTGCCTAGTCAGGTGAAACTAAGTTTTTTTGATTGCATTTAAAAATTATTTCTAAAAACGAGGTCAAATTGGGATTAAATAAAAAATAATAATGTTTGAAACCAACATTTTGTTTATCAGCCCCAATCTTAGTTTTTGTGAAATTAAAATTAATTTAAAACTCATTACCAAAACTAACATTTTACATGCATATTGCTTTTGCTGACGCTTCCTCAGAAAGCTATAACTTATCACAGACACAGCTGTTTAAAACATTTCTGTATTATTTTACTAATAAGTACCCAGAAAGGTTACAGTCTGTTATTTCAGAGATGTTCATCCCTTTTCCCACAGCTACATGGTGAGCTGAAAAGCCTTAGGAGTCCTGCCTCCTATCCACATGCCTATTTCTCCAATCTAGATAATGCCCCTTGCCTATAGAAAATAATGTTTCTTCCTTCAGAGCTCTCTATGGTGGGATGAAAATTGTAGTTTTTCTTTCCTTTCTTTTCCTGCAGTCATTGAAAATCTCTGTTGCTATTTCTGTAATTCTAAGAGATTTGGAATAGAATGAACATTCCTTGGAATAATGATTTTATATGGATATTTAATAGGTTATTAATTAACATTTAATAGGATATATGGGCCTATTCTGTGCTGTTAGAGTATAACAAAGCAGTTCAGATTCACTGCAGGAACCTAAGAAGAGACGCCCAAAGAATCATAGGGAGGCTCTTTTTTTTTTCCATCTTGCCATGGTTGTAACTATAATTATTTGCCTTCTTTCCTTTATTGCACTTAAGTGAAGCTCAGAAATAGTGGAGGCAGAGATCATGGGCCTGATATGCAATCCACAGCTAAGCAATCCTCTCCTGTGCTAAGCCAAGCTGCTGGTAGAACAGGCCTTCCTTCTTCTGAGAATCAAGTGGCAATATATTTGCTCTAAAGACCAATTTTTTTCCCTAGTGCAAATTGTAGCTGTTTCACAGACAGCACCATTAGTCTAGTCACTGCTTTGGTGGTCTTTCTGGCCCACTATGTAGGATATCTACAGATTTTAACTTATTCTCCAGCTATGTATTCAACATCGATGGAGATAATTCCACTAGCACAACAAAATCTATTTTTTGTTTTACCCAAGATCACATAACTTCTTACAGAAACATTTGTATACTGCCCATCCTAGCCCTTTTCCTACCATGAAGTCAAAATGCAGGAATATCAGCATATGATAGGAGTGTATATGTGTGTTGTGTCAGGTGGTGAGTTAAACCTTCCCAGAGAGTCCAGCAGCAATTCTGTACTTTTCAAAATAAGTGAGAAATGGTCAAATTTGTTTTGACAAATGCAGCACTGGCACTTACACCTTACAGGGACTGCAAGTCATGCTGGGTGCAGGTCCATTCATTTTAAGACTTTTGCAATACTTCTTAAAAATACATTGTGAGATGTAAGTGAAGTGGTGCAACTAAGCTTGTCTCCTTGCACAGTCCTTGAAAAATTAAAAAGATTCACGTGAAAAGAGATTTGGTGATTTATTTTTGCAGTTTTAAGGAGAACATGCAAATGACTGAAAAAGCACAGTTGGTAGCTAGCTTCTCTATTTGTGAAGCTGTTCCCTTCCTTTCCGAAATCTGTTCATTGGTGAACTCTGAGAACACAAGCCTTCCGTGACCATTGATTGGGAATGCAGTAATATTCACAACAAAAATACTTTCAGAAAAGAAACTTTTTAAGCCAAAGAACTTCAGAGCTTCAGAAGATATGAAATCCTGGAATATGTGTGTAATCCTTGCGAATACTGAGTACCACCGGTTACCTGATTGTCACTGTGCTCCTTGCATGTATTTACTCCAGCGTGATGGGACAAGCATGTAAATTGGAGAGCAGGAGAACACTTGTAATAGCCTCTGATTTGTGTTAATGATTATTAGCAGGACAACACAACCACTCGAAGTCTGGTGTTTATCTCTGGCTGAGCAGAGAATAACTGGAAGGCTGTGCCCATCCAGGAAAAATCATAACTTGTAATCTCTGAGGCTTTTTAGACAGACAACAGGAACAAATTATCATGCCATAGATAAAAGCCTAAATCCTATAGAAGAAAAAGGAGTAAGAGAGAATGCAGAAGTGTACTCACTCTGTCCCTTGCACCACAAATCTGGGAGAACATTGTCCTGTTTTAGCTTTGGACGAAGCAGGGGTGTACAAGCTGTTGCCTTTGAAACAAGGTTTTCATTCTGCATTGCTGCTACCACTGAGACTGTTTACTGTAAAGGCCTTGCTGGTCATATTCACCCACTAGTCAGCTCTGGAAGACCACTTTTTTGTAAGACGACTGAATTTAGTCTGGTGTTTTGATCAGTCATAATTAGTATACAGAATATTTCACCCAAGGGTCTGACCCCTCAAAATGGAAGAATTGCAGGGTTATACCTCTGGGAGGCAAAAAACTGACATGCAGGGCCTGCACTTGGGAGATGGAGTAGGTGTGAATAGGTCTATATTATGGCACAAAGTTTCCAGGAAAGTTGTCCTGAGTAAAGCATGTCTGTCATATTGTCTGTGCAATCACATATCTCTGACTGGTAAACTTTTGAAACTTTATTGTTAATCCTGATTCTGCTGTGATTTCTATCAGTGTAAACCAGCAGGGACTATACTAAAAGCATTGTAACACCACCCAGGGACAGATTCAGACTAAATGTAAGCCAAAGGCCAGTAACAGGAACATAGTGAATTCACACAGTGAATTTAGCCAGTGCACAGAGTGAGTTTCTGGTCTAATAAGCTGCTCCCAGGTGTGTGCATAGCCTTGGTTTCCGGTTCCCAGTGATTAAATTGTTGCTGATTATCTTCCCACAGATAAAATAGGATGTAGTATGCCTTGTCTCCTTCCCTGTCTAGAAGCTGCTGCTTCCTGACTAGCAGCTATTGCCACCTCCATAATGTTGCCAAGGTAACACCTGTGCCTCAGTGTTTCCTCCTAAAATCCTCCCTCATATCACCACTATCCACTGTTGTTGGTGAGTACAATCATTCCGTCTGTGACCCCAGAAGGCTTCAGCATGTGCAAATTGTTCCAGCTGGTCTTCAGCAGCAACTCAATTTGAGTATGGAAAGCCAGTCCCTATGGACTCTCCAGATATTTCCTGATCAAATTCCAAATTGCCCTGAATATTTAAAAAATCTCCAAGGATCTGCTTAAGGCCAGCTAATAGTTGTAAGTATGACGAGATTTGACTCCCGCTTTTGCCAGTATAAATCTCAAAGGGTCTCTTGATTTCTCTGAAAATGCACCAGATACACACTGCTACAGCAGACTGGGATGTAGCATGGCTTGCCAAAAGACACAGGTTTGGGTATTAAAGGGTATTTGCTACATTTGAACAAGCAACTTATAATACAGAAATAAACGAGACTTGGAAATCCCTGAGATGTGTTTGAACTTTGACTGATAATGTTCAAAGTTTAAACTGGATGAAGAACATTCATTAAGCCATTCTCTGGCAAGATTGGTGATTGTGATTGCACAGAAATAAAAACTTTTCAGAAAATCTTGTCATTTTCACTGCAGTTTGTTTCAGAGGTAAAAGAGAAAAGTGGGCTGGGATGAGAAAGGGATTCAAATAATGTCCTCTTTTACCATTTCTGTTGAAAAAAATATTTTAACTTTGCAATCTGCAACTGAAAAATATTTCAAAAAGCTGTTTTTAGAGAAACTGTGCATGCACACACTTGTTAATAGCAGTTTGGTTTTTATGGTTCCATTTTTCATTTTGTCCCTGCAATATGAAAATGCTCCAGGAATGTTCCAGGAAAAAATCTGGTGTTAAAAAATCTGACATTCTGGGATTTTTTAATGCCCAAATGCCTTTGCATCTGAAAATGTGTTTTAATTTGCTCAAAAAAAGGTTACATGTGTGCAGAGGGCTTTGCATTTGCCAGCAAACTTTGTAGCCCATTGCAAATGGAGATTATAGGTCCTTCTGAGCTGTTCCTGGTGAAGAAAAGAATCGCTATCATGTACTAATTTATTTTTCACAGCCACTGAATGAAATACAGAATCAGAATGCCACACTTCTCAACGTATGTACATACTTAGTAATCCTACGAAGAAAGGGCTCTCCCTTATCATACAGAATATGAATAACTCTGCCATCTGTGGTTCTCTTAAAATGCCACCTCCTCACAAAAATAGGCCCGCTATTGCAAATGCCACCTGTCATCAACTAGCATATGTCAAGAATTTTCAGTGCCCGAGTGTCAGAACGTAATATAGTCTTGGGATCTCTGTCTCTGTGTATGCAGTCCCAGCAGGGCAGTATCTGTGCTCCTGCTGAGTGACACAGCAGGCCCACTAGGAAGCGAAGGCAAGTGCTGAATGTGTAAGTACAAGTCAAAAAGAGATGTTATGAGGTCTTTCTTCCTTTTTGACTAAAATAAGGAAAACACACAGGAGAAAAAGCATCAGCTAGACTGTTTTCTGTCAGCTATTGGATGTTTAAGTATCAGTACAGTGAAGTAGACCTATTTCTTCACTCAGGTGAGCCAGGATGGAAAAGCCTTGCTGGATGTTCTACAGCGTCCCTTGAGTCCTGGGAATTCTGAATCCCTCACTGCTACTGCAAACTACTCCAAGGCTGTTCACCAGGTGTTGGATGTGGTACATGAAGTCCTGCATCACCAGCGGCGCCTAGAGAGCATCTGGCAACACAGAAAGGTCCGGCTACATCAAAGGCTGCAGCTCTGTGTTTTCCAGCAGGATGTTCAACAGGTAATACCATTACTAAAGAAGATAAAGAATGGCCCTTTCTTTGCAGTCATAAAGATTGTTTAGTGACTCATCTAGAGGATATTGCCATAACCAAGATGTCACATGCAGCTCTATCTATGCTAGAAATATGCTAAAATCTTAATGCACCTCTCAGCACCTCTCAGTACCTCTCAGTTTCATGTTGGAAATCATCAATCAGTCCATTGATTATTGATCAGTCCATTCCCCACAAGAATGTGACACTATTTTCAGCAGTTAATTTTTCACAAGTGAGCTGTAGGTACTCTACTGTTCTTGAGAAAGTAATGTTTAATAGAAAGAAGAATTTCAAGTGTAAAAAGCAATTTAACTGTGGTGTATTTCACCTTCCTATATGGAAACAATGCAGATACAGGCCTTTTAGTGGTGGTGTTTTAGATGATCTTTGCATTATTACCACTTATGGAGTCCACGTACTTGTGCTATGAGTTTGCTGGCTCAAATGAACTGCACACCCTGATGTGCAGAGCCCACCTCACAGAAATACAGTTTATACAGTACAGGCTCACCTCTGAGAACTTAGGCTCCAGGTGAATAACTTTTCTCTCCCGAAGGAATCCGTCTGAATACCAGCACAACAGCGTAACTGACAGTGACTATGAAAAGCCATGTTTGTAGCTGCCAAATATGCAAGCACAAGCAACAGATGTTACAGGGCTCTGCTCGTTCAGGATGGTGTGGTTTGTTTAAGGGCCCCATTACAGCCCGAAGCAGATGTTGGTAGCAATATGGTACTTGCTTTAAATGAAGAGGCTGAGTGTTCTAATCATGTTTATGGAGCATTCTAATGTCCCTAGGGTTCTTTCTATCGTTGCCTTCCTGCAAGTGAAAAATGAGGTGGAGATGGAGTGGCAAAGCGGTCACATGCAAAGTAAACATGAAGCAGCAAGGACAGGAGACAGGCAACGTTCATTCAAAGTGCAAATTTGTGGTCCTGTTAGTGCCATAGTTGAAGTGCACCAGCACAGACAGAACTGCAGCTGTAGATATCCTTTGCAAATATGTATGACCATTTCTCTGGCAGCCTTGAAAAGTTTGCCAGAATTTCTACCTGCTCATTTTTTTCCTATGAAACCACACAAATATTCATGCCATATATATAACTAAAACCAGGATTGAATGTAACAGATGCTTAATTTAAGCAACTTCACTTTCGTTATGTGTCAGTAAACATACTGCATGGTAATGAAATTCATAAGCTATATATTAAATAGAGCATGTACTCGGAATTCAGTTAGAATACTCTCTGCATATTATATGAAGTTAATACAATTTTGGAGTTAAAATCTCAAAAATCAAGGGTTGTAAATTCTGATATTATGCTTTTTCCAATTGTGGTATATAATGTCAATAAGAATCCATATTATCTTAGGAGTTCTTCATCCCCTAGGGTGATTTACACTTTTGTTCAATCTCTCCAACCCAAAACTTTCTCTCTTACATCTTTTGAAATCAGTAGAAGTGTTTATGAGGTTCATTCATGAAACCCATTCAGACTTTTACTTCCCACATATGCAAGGCAATGAGGCTGCGTCACTGTTCAAAAGGTTTTCAAAAGGAACAGGTCTTTTGTAAGTACTGTGACTTTTGGTGAGAGGAAAAGAAACAAGCAGTAAGAGTCACTGGAATACAGTCACTTTAGAGAGCATTACTCTGTGTGAGTTCTGTTGGCAGCAATCTTTCAAAATTTTTCTCTTAATGGGTAGTTATTATCTGGAAAGCAACAACTTAATGACAGACATGTTTCTATCCTAGCATACACTTACTGGAGGCATCTCTTTGTCCTGCTTAGAAAGTAAAGAGGAAGAGATGAATCATTCTGTTCACTAAACATCTGTACTATTCAAGATAAATGCTTTGTAACTCATAAGTGAAATGATCAGCTAAACAGAAATATGAAGTGTAGATTCCATGAGGAGGAGAAAGATATCCGAGTAGGTTGATGGTGGTTTTTTTGAAAATAATCGCCTCGTATATCAGTTGTGCAGTTCCTGTTACGCTTATTTTGTTAAATGCCCATCAGTTGGCAGGTGAAGCTGTCTACCTGTACGTTGTCACTAATCATAAGTAACATTGATCTATAATAATTTGTTGCCTTGTCAAAATTTAATAACCTTTAACTGAGTTCTTCCTGGTTCAAGTCTAAAAAGAAAAGATGTGGGAGAACAAATCCTGACAGGAGAGTCACGAGTTTATTAGACTTTGCTGTTTTCTAGACAAGTAATGATACAGTGTAGTTTCTCTAAGGAAGATGTTCCTCTTCCCTTTCCACCCAGCTCAAAATTAAGCATGTTCTCACAGATGCAGTTTTCCCTACCAGGATGTCCTGTGGCTCTCCAGCTGTTGGCCAGTGCAGTAAAAATTCTGGTGAAAGATGATCTCCATGTCAGAACTTAACACTCCCTCACTTGTTCATCTATACCTTTCTCTTCATGTCAACTGTTCTGTATCAATCTTTTCTTAAAAGGAGATATGAATAGGGACAGGTTTTGTTGCGTTGTATGTTCTTAATACAGACTCCAGGATTATTTTGCATCCTCTCAGTCTGCCATTAATTGCATTAATAGCTTTTGGTAAAGACACCTCTCCAAGAAGAGATTCTTATGAATCTTGAGAGATAATAATTTCTCACCTAACTACTCTAGTTAGTCTTGCCAGAGGGATCAAGTATTTAGGCATGCAATATCAAGTGTTCATAGAGAGGTCTTGCAAAACTGGTTAGCTGGATGAAGGCTTTATGTAGGCCAAGTGTGTGCCTTTTGGGCTAGATTTAAAGGTTAAGCTGTGTTAAAGAGGGCTCATTTATGTCATTCCTGGGTGTATTCTGCATCATTTGCAAGGCCAGACTACATGCATGACCGGCAGCTCAGGGCTGTGTTCTCAGATAGTTTCACACTGTCGAGGAAATCCTTTTGATTCTAGCTGGGTTTTAGTTTGAACTGCACAAAACCTGAAAACACTGAAAATGATGGATTAAAAGAAATAAGAGTATTTTTTATTCTGAGATAGAAAGTCAGGTATCCTTAGTGTCATGTCATAATCAAAATACAAGTTGTGCTGTAGAAAAAAGAAAGTTTAAACACTGTGGATAGCCAAGTTACAATATTAATGTAAGAAATGTTACAGTATGAAATAACATTGGAAGTAATCACTACCTCACACCATCGGATATTTTACAAGATTGTTATTACATCTATGTATTAATACAATTACATCAATTTGCACATCTGAACCAAGGTAAATAATGGTGTGTTAAGGACAATGAGTTATGAACACACGGAATTTTAAAGAAGGAAACAATATAAATGGTGTGAAACTGCATTTACAGCCTTCACAGGAAATGGAGCACCATTCACACAAAAGGGATAGCAGTTAAGACAATTTGTGAGCTGTTATGAAGCTCTACACAGGCAGGAACTGACAAGGAACTCTTTTAACACCAAAAATATTTAGGATCATTATAAAAATGTTGGATTGCCGAGTGTGTAAAATACTTCATTGCTTCAGTCGTTTTTTAGAAGTTCTCTATCATTTCAGATAGGGAAGAGCTGAATCCTTTGATCCTTTTAGAACACAGTTGTGGGAGGAGGTGCTGAGATTCTGTCCTCCAAGGGAGGAAAAAGATCCCATTGACATTCATAGTAATATTCTGTAATTCCTGCAGAAGCTTCAGCCCATTTTTGGTAGCTTTTCCTTTTTGCCCCTCTCTGCTCTGCGTCTTCCCCTTCTGCAGACTATTTACCAGCAAATTAACATCATTTCCATTTCTGTTGAAATTTGAAATTGTTTTCACCTTGTCTCCAATTTCCACTGCTTTCCACTGTTACATCCTGATTTACCCTGTCTGCCTCTGCATGCATTCCTCCACTTTAATATGTTCCCTTTGCCCCCGTGAAGAGCAACACTGTGAAACAAGCAAGGGTAGCATGAGGGTTGTACCATGAGCAGATGTTACCAAGCAGCCTTCAAAATAGCTGGAGTAAGTTTTTAACACTGTTCTTCACCCCATTGCCTCCCCCATTCCCTTTGTTTCATATGAGCAAGAATTTTGTCTGAATTCTCTCACTTCATAAACTCATTCAACTGAAGCTGTAAAGCCTGAAGCTTACCTATTAAAGTAGAAGGAATATGGAGACCCATCAAATGCATTATTGAAATGGTCTGTGCAAGCCTCGAACTTGGTATTTTAAAGCACTTTCGTGGCAGAGTAGTCAAACTGCTACTCTTCTGCAGGCTTCATTCCTTCTCATGGAAATTCTCAGTCTTTACCTAATTTCCATACATACACACCAACACTTAGCCTGACAGCTAAGCTTAGGCAGCCTTTTCTTCCACAGATTCACATGATTCTCTCAAAGTCACTGCTGGTGCTGCTTTCTTCTTGCTTCACTTTGGTTGTGATGGTTGCCTGTAAAGGAAGAGCTGGAAAATAGGTGGATGTAGAGGTATTCTGTGTGCTGGTGGAGTTTCTTGGCTATGTACAAAGCCTTGAGTTAGCTGTGGTGGCTCTGCATAGCAAAATGGAACAAGCGCATCATGCCAGATGAAGACCAGTAGTAAATAGCAAAATGATACTAACAAATGCTTACTGGCAAGAGGGTAGGCATGTACTAAGAAGGCTAGGACTGTTGCCATACCAGCTGTACTGATGTCTCAAATCCTCTTGGTTACTGGAAAGGTGAAGCTAGGCCAGTGTCAGGTTTACCTGGATTTCTCTAAATTTGTGGATTTGCGTTCTGTTGGCTTCATGCCTAGATACATTAATGGGCATAGCTTTGGTTTCCCTGTGTGGTTGTCTGCCTCTGGTGATGGATAGAAAGGCCACGTGGCCATACTGATATCATTACACTTACCAGCTGCCATTGCTGTGGGAGACTGCGAAGTATTGCAGCGGAAAGGCTGTCTCTCTTCATAACCAAGCACTTTAACTTGTAAAGTGTCTGGCTTTTAGTGGCCAAGAA